ATAAAATAAATAATCTACAAAGATATTTTATATAACATGAGGAAAGCAGCCAATGTTATAACTACAAATGAACTATATAAAATTTTGAATCACTATTTGAAAATCTGAAACTAATATAATATTTAAATAAACTGCACCTCAATAAGAAAAGGAAAAAATTATAATGGCTGTAACAGTGCCTTGCAAAATTCCCGTGAATTTAACAACAGGTCCTTATGAGGCAGTATGCAGCGGCTCCAACATACCACCACCCTACCTCACCCTTATTACTCTCTTGTTCTGCTTGTCCCTGCTTTATTTTTCTAACTGGCATTCATTCATCATCAGACAGCATTAGACACCTGTTTCTCGCTTATCTCTCCCAACAGAATATAAGCTCAATGAGGGCAGGAATTTTCGGGGTCTCAGTCATCACTGGTGTGGTATCTGGCACGTGGCAGACAGGTGAGAGGAGCCAGGCTCAGTCTGAGGAGCCACGGATAGCTCAGGTCAAGTAACTCATGCCATCACCACTGTATGCTCAGTGAGCAGAGTATGGTGTGGAGATTCAAGTGAAGCAGTTCTTTGGGAAATGTTTTTATTATGGGGGAAGGGGGGCTTCCATGGTGGCTCAGATGGTAAAGAATCTGCCTGCAATGCAGGAGACCCGGGTTCAATCCCTGGGTCGGGAAGATTCCCCTGGAGAAGGGAATGGCAACCCACTCCAGTATTCTTGCCTGGAGAATTCTATGGACACAGGAGCCTGGCAGGTTACAGTCCATGGGGTCCAAAGAGTTAGACACGATTAAGTGACTAACACTTTCACACTTTCACAGTAGGGGAAGGGAAGGAAGAAGGGCTGGCAGAGGAAGAAGTCTAGCTATGATACAGTCCAACCAAGTCTTCAGCTCTGGAGCTGAGCCGGACCATCAGAGTTGCCCCGGGTGGGGCAAAATGTGAGTCTTTATACCCTCACAGTTATTAGGCATGGGCTGCCCTCCAAAGGGGGGTTCTCCTACTGTTGAGCGTTGATGGCTAGGAGCTTCCGTTGGCAGCACTCCAGGGCTGGGGAACACGTCCTGTGCAGGGTTAGGGTTCAGACGAGGTGCCAGGGCCAGCAGGAAACTGGAGTGCGGTGAGGAACTGGAGAGGGAGCCAGTCACGGGAGGCACAGGGAGGGAGCACAGCTGGTGGGATGGTGAGAGAGACGGCCACTTGTGAAGCATTCACGTTTCCAGGGCTTGTTCCAGGACCACTGTCTCCTGTGACAGGCAGCGACAGCAGAAGCAGGGCGGGAAGACACTGCCTGCCGCTCTCACTTACCTGCTATACCTGTAAACCTCCTAGAACCCCCAGCCAGTTCAGCCATACCTATGATTCCCATTCAGAAATATCTATTACGTGTCAGGCCCGGTGCTGCACTCTACGAATGCAAAGGTGAATGAAACCAACATAGTGCCTGCCCTGAGGGAGCTCACAGCTACTGCAGAGGTTCTTAGTCACGACGGCGCAGTGATATCCCTGCAGCGTTACTTTCCAACATGCCCATGCCTGGGCCTCGTGGCCAGAGATTCTGATACAACTGGCATCAAATGCGGCCCTAGGAGCAGTATTTTCATTTTCTTTTTTTTCTTTTTTCATTTATTTTTATTAGTTGGAGGCTAATTACTTTACAGTATTGTAGTGGTTTTTGCCATACATTGACATGAATCAGCCATGGATTTACATGTGTTCCCCATCCCGATCCCCTCTCCCGCCTCCCTCCCCACCCCATCCCTCTGAGTCTTCCCAGTGCACCAGCCCCGAGCACTTGTCTCATGCATCCAACCTGGGCTGGCGATCTGTTTCACCCTGGATGATATACATGTTTCAGTGCTATTCTCTCGGATCATCCCACCCTCGCCTAGGAGCAGTATTTTCTAGTTGACATTCATATGTAGTTAAGGTTGAGAACCGTTGCTGTAAGCCACTGAATGCGAAGAAAGGATATACACAGTACTCTCAAATTTGAACTGAAAAAAAAAAAAAAAAAACAGAGACCCTGAACACAGAGAAACCAAAACAAAAAAAACAAAAATATCTAAACAATGGCCTGATCCAAAAATATGATCTGACCTAGTCCTGTGTACTGCAGTCTGAACCGTCACCAGACTATCTGCTGACACCACGTCGCTAGAGTCGCTAGGGTGGATGGTGATGCTCTGGGACGGGCTGGGATCACGCAGTGTATGGATGCCCTGTGCTGCCTGATGGCTCAACTAGAAGTGCCTTTCACACGGCGACAGGCATCAGGGCAACCCAGACAGGCTCTAAACTGCTCCTGCTGAAAACTGGCGACATCTCGGGGCTCTGGCTCCTGATACTGTTACCAGTAAGCCAGCCTTTCTCCCTGAATTCCCAACTCCAGTTCCCAGACGTGGCATTTAATCAGTGTCTCAATTATCATTTAAATGTTGGCACATGAAGTTCATCAAAGACCAGGCAGATGAGTTTTGGTGCAGCGGTGGCATCGTCAGTGATTTCCATAGAGGTACCTTATTTGAGGGTTAAGAATTTCGAGCAGGCGGCTTTACAAAGTTGTTAATTGGTGTAAATTACGTTTTCAGCTGCAGAAATCAGCACTGTAAGCAAGTGACTAGCCCCTTTGATCTTAGTGAACTAGGATGTTTTTCATGCATCACAGCAGCCGCTTGAGTCCTGTGCTGCCCTTACCCAGAGCACAGAGGTAGTCTGCTTCCAAACAAGTTTTCATGTTGGCTACATTGTGCACAATTAGTCAGAGGACTATCAGAACAACTTCAGTGCCTGGAACTTTTTTAAAATCATGCAAATAATAAAATTTGAACAGAAATGATTTGGAGTGGAAAAGTCAGCTTTATATCACTATCAGAAAATGAAAAAGAAATGGAGAATGCCCATAATCAGACTGGCTGCTAATATTATCTACTTTTGTATTTAAAGGGTAATAACCTTGCTTATGATCAAAAGAAATGTAGAGGAGGTTAAGGGAAGGGAGGAGAAAGGAAAATTAAACCGCATACCTGTCCACAGCGCTTCATCAGGACTAAAATGACTTTCAATACCATGTAGATTAAGTGAGTGAGCACATGTTGAGAACTCTACCCACGTTGAGGGAGGTGCAGCTGGATTTTCATTCTGAGTTTTCTTGCCTACAGGCCTTAACAGGTTTTGGTTAGTTTTCAACTCAGGTTCAGTATGGAGAAGGGAATGTTTAATAATCCACTTCTAAATGAGAAAAATGGATTTCAGAAAGCAGAAGATTCCAGAACAAAGGCAGATTACCTGGGGATTCCTCAAAATGGAATCTCTTGGATTTGCACAGCTTCAGGCCCTGTCTTCTGAGTATCCCGTTATTAAGGGGGAGGTGGGAAGAAACCACATAAAGTGTTTCGATCTCCCATGAGTCATTTCTCCAACATTAGGAGTCACCCTTCGGATTCCAAGACATAACATCATTCAGTGTTGTAGAAATCTTTCCAGGATTCTTCTAGGACTTCACTACTCAGTTTGAGGTGGTTGTGGTGACTTTTTATTTCCCCAAAGGGATTTTCCTGGCCTCTAGCTGCTTTTTCTCAATGCCAGAGACTTTATATTTTTAAACCTTTATGTCATGTTACCTCTTTATTACTTCATCCATCAGAAGACAGAATTGGACAGGATCTTGAAACTGGAAGCTACCTCATGCATCACCAATTTTCTTATTTTATAATACCATCAATGCTCAAAGGGTTAGTTGACTCTTTCAAGGCCCAACACTCTTTGGGAAGCAGTGATTGAGAATTCCAGCTCTAGAGTAATACACACTGCTTTAGATTCTAGCACCAATATCTATTGGTTGTGGGACCTTGAGCAAGTTAGTTAACTTTCCGGAGTCTTGACTTTCACATCTGAAACAGAAATAAGAACAGTACTCTCCTCTTGGAAATGTGAAAAGGATCCAATGAAGTAATCATGAAAAGCTCTTAGCCCAATATCCAGTACAGTGTGGTTGCTAATTGATGTTCAGTCACTAAGTTGCTTCTGTCTCTTTGCAACCTCACGAGCTGTAGGAACTTCACCAGGTTCCTCTGCAGTGAAGTCACTCCGTCATGTCTGACGCTTTGTGAGCCCATGGACTGTTGTCCTTCCATGGAATTCTCCAAGCAAGAATACGAGAATGGACTGCCATCTCTTTCTCCAGGGGATCTTCCTAACCCGGGGATTGAACCTGGGTCTTCTGCATCGCAGGAGGACTCTTCACCATCTGCGTCACCAGGGAAGCCTCCTCTGACCTCCACTATTTCCTGGGGTTTGCTCACAGACAGAACCCAGACTAGAACCAAAGATCCTGACTTCCATTCCAAAGTTCATTACTTTCTATCATATTGGACAACTTTTTCAGTTTTAGGGTTCTACCATCAAAGTTTGAGGCCTTCTTGCTCCAGAAAAAAGTTTATTTCCTTTCTTTTGTGTTCTATTGTTATTTCCTTCTCTCCTATGAAGAAATGAGTTAAGAACTTCCTTCAAGGTGGCTCTTCCAAAATGTCTCAGCAGAAGCAAAATGAAGTGTGGGGCCCTTTCTTTGGAGGAGATAAAACCACTTGTGTTATTTGTAGCTGCACTGTAGTAATGCAGTAATGTGCAGTAATGCCACATTGGTGTTACTCTCCCCTCTAACTTCTTGTTTATTTTCTTCCCATCTACACAGTTTGGCACAGTTCATACCTCTGTCTCCAAGAGCATCTATTTCATAAATTAATGATGCTTTCTGAAAAGGCAACAGACACCTAGGGTGCAGAAAGCTGCTCCAACATGAAGTGGAAAGGCCATTGGGTCTCCTTCTGAAAAATGACATTGCCATTCCAAGGGTTATTCTCGGACCGTTCATTTAGAAACTGCACCATCTTCATAATAAAGAAGGCAAAACAAACACTCGGGCCACCACTAACCTCGATTACGTTGTCAGAAGGAATAGCTTCTGAAGCGTGTCAAGCATGAAAAGCAGTTAAGGTGGAACATTTTCAATTTTCGACCCTGGTTGGTACAAAATGAGTTTTCCTCTTCTGATGCGCGTCGCGGTGAGTAACTGCCACCTCTGACTCGGCCATCGGCGTGCTGGGGGAGGTGGTGCGCCGGCCAACTGCTGGCTCAGCTGCCACGGAGGCTTTCAGGGAAGCACAGCGGTTCTGTTACCGAGGAAAACATCCAGGGCACCGGCTCACACCACTGTTGTCAACGCTCAGCTATAGAAATAACAGTGATCTGAGAGAACCATACTCCCAACTTTGTCAATGTGAAAGAAAAAAACATAACATGAAACTCACACTGAGCCGGTGAGACCCTGGTATCTTGGAATCTAACTGACTCCCCAGTAATGAGCTTGAGGATCACACTTTTGGAGGCTGGTTCACAACCAGAGAAACTTTAGAAGCCACTTCAGGATCCGCATGCCCTCCGCCTGAGCTCTCTCTCGGCTGCTCCCTTCTCTAGATGCTCATTGCGCTCACAGCCCTTCCTCGTCCACATTTCTCAGGGCTGCCTGGCCCTTTCACTTCCATCACAGGCACACGTCTTCCACATTCGCATCTCAAGTATTTCAGCAGCCTCTTTGTCTGCCTTCTTTGCAACCAGGTTCTTTATGACCCAAACCAGCTTGCATTGTGCTACAGGATTAATCTCTTAGTCTTCATCTCATCTTGCCTGTTTGCACACACACTGGTTCTGATGCTGTGCGTGTATTCATACCCATCTGTCTTTGAATACACACAGCTCCACTTTCACTACACATTCATTTCACCACATATTGAATTTGCCTCCAGCCTTCTTACCCCTGGGCTGTTTGTTGCTCCATTTTCTGATGCAAGATCACCTTTCCTCTTCCTGCATCACTTTACTTCTGAAGGATCCTTTGGTGGGAAAGTAACTCTAGTCACTTCAACATTCAGCATTCAACTTCAATATTCATCTTTCATTTCAGCTACTTCTCAGAATTTTTTTCTTCTCTAAAATATTTTCACTTAAAAATATTTATTTATTTGGATGTGGTGGATCTCCACTGTGTCATGTGGGGTTTTTTTGTTTTGGTGCACAGACTCTGGTTGTGGTGTGCAGGCTTAGTTGCCCCAAGGCATGTAAGATCTTAGTCCCCCGACCAGAGATAGAACCCACATCCCCAGGATTGCAAAGTGGACTCTTAACCACTCAACCATGGGAAGTCCCAGTTTTTCCCTTCTTTACCACTCCACGTCTTTCTTGGTAGCTCTATCCCTGCTTCCCCTCCAGCAGGCACAGATGCTCTGAAGTTTGCTTTCTCCCACACCTTTGTGCCTAAACCACAACCAGCCTCCTGGAGGTGTGCTCCTTGTGGAGCCTGAACCATAAGCCAGAGTACAATTCTGGAAAAAGCACGAGAGAGAGACCCCAGAGACACTTCTGTTTTCACCAGTATTGTTGGGTACATGGAACACCTGAAAATTCTGGGCCATATGTAAAAAGCTTTTATAACAATGCATGGCTACAGTGGCCGGAAAGTAAGAGATGCCCTTAGAGGTCAGAATAAAAATGAAGTTTCAAGTCCATTTCTGGATTTGTCACCCAGAATTTGTCCTACAGAAATGAAACATTAGCATGTGTCCTTTTCCAATCTTGCTGGACACAGCTCAGCTTTGGTAGACCACGAGGAGACCACCTGAGGTACAGGCATCGTGGAAATGCAGATCAGGAGTCTCTGTATCCAACCAGGTCCCTGGAAGTTTCCGTGGGTCAACTAAGAAAAGAACTGCTTCACACAAAGAGCTGATGGGAGGTTCATCTGTCTTGGCCTTGGTTATGGGAAAAGGGGAAAAAGGAAAATGATTCCTCAGAAATCTGAACCACAACTCTTCCCTCACACAAATTTAGGGCTAAAATTCACAGTGACTGTAAGATGCATGAAAACCACATGCTAAAAATTTACTTTAAAACAGGCCTTGGTATGGTCGATGGCCAAAACCAACCTGCCATCAGCTTTTGTACAGTCCATGAGCTAAAATGGTCTTTGCAGGTTTATAAGACTGAAAGAAAATCAAAATAAGAAAATATATCACAACACAGGAATAGTATTTGGAATCAGTTTCAGTCTCCAGTTGAACATCTCACCGGAGCAGTGATGCTCACCTGTTTACAGGCAGTCCACAGGCCCTTTCGCTCTGCGATGGCAGAGCTGAGTTGCTGACAAGGCTGTATAGCCACAAAGCCTAGAATAGTTCCTCTCTGGCCTTTCACAGCAAAGGTTGCTGACCCCTGGTTTAAAGTTATCTCAGTGATCTCTTTAAACCTCAAGGAGTTCTACAGATAACATACTAAGGAATAAAAGTTCACCATTTTTTTTTAAAGGCAGTCCTAACATTCAAGGAATAAGATAGGATGGGTAACAACAGAAATAACTAATTAGAGAATCCAAGCTACAAAGAATATAGATATCCAAATTGTCAGATACAGAATTCAAAATATGTTGTTACCGCATTTGCCTAAGTCCATCTGGGAGCCTCTATGCAGTCATATTTCTGTATGTATTTGTTTTCTCACTCATATACTTTTTGCCTCCTGTCTTCTTTTTTTACAGAAAGTGTTGGTGGTATTTTTTTCCATAATGTATTATAAATGCCATCTCTTATAGACCATGATATTTAGGGCTTAATTTTAAATTTTGTTTAAAATAGATCCTAGGATCACTTTAATACCTAGGCACTTCATCTATTCAGAATTTAACTGTCCTTAACAGAACCAGGAAATTCTAAGTCTGTTGCAGTGCTTACCACTAAAAAGTACTAGGATCAGCAGCGATTCCTAACCAGGAAAAGTTCACAATCTGTGCTCGACAGGGAATCGCTGAACTGGGAAATCCTCTATCCACTTGACCTTTGTACGTATCAGCCACCTCCAATCACTGAGCGATGCCTGCTGGTGCGGTGGGTCACGATCTTTGCCAAGACCATTGAGGACACACTCAACTCATAAGACAGGCCGTCCTGAACTCTCCTTTTTACAACCCACACACACACACACACACACACACACACACACATTGTTTTCCACATTTGCCTATTTAGTTGCCTTCAAAGTTCTTCACATTCAGTTCAGTTCAGTCGTTCCGTCCTCTCCAACTCTTTGGGACCCCATGAACCGCAGCACAGCAGGCCTCCCTGTCCATCAACAACTCCCAAAGTTTACTCAAACCCATGTCCATTGAGTCAGTGAATCCATCCAACCATCTCATTCTCTGCTGTCCCCTTTTCCTCCTGCCTTCAATCTTTCCCAGCATCAGAGTCTTTTCCAATGAGTCAGCTCTTCACGTGAGGTGGCCAAAATATTAGAGTTTCAGCTTCAGCATCAGTCCTTCCAATGAACACCCAGGACTGATTCCCTTTAGGATGGACTGGTTGGATCTCCTTACAGTCCAAGGGACTCTCAAGAATCTTCTCCAACACCACAGTTCAAAAGCATCAATTCTTCTGTGTTCAGCTTTCTTTATAGTCCAACTCTCACATCCATACATGACTTCTGGAAAAACCATATCCTTGACTAGATGGACCTTTGTTGGCTAAGTAATGTCTCTGCTTTTTAATATGCATGTTGTCTAGGTTGGTCATAGCTTTCCTTCCAAGAACTAAGTGTCTTTTAATTTCATGGCTGCAATCACCATCTGCAGTGATTTTGGAGCCCAAAAAAATAAAGTCTGACACTGTTTCCACTGTCTCCCCATCTCTTTGCCATGAAGTGATGGGACCAGATGCCATGGTCTTACTTTTCTGAATGTTGAGCTTTAAGCCAACTTTTTCACTCTCCTCTTTCATTTTCATCAAGAGGCTCTTTAGTTCTTCTTCACTTTCTGCCACAGGGTGGTGTCATCTGCATATCTGAGGTTATTGATATTTTTCCCAGCAATCTTGATTCCAGCTTGTGCTTCATTCAGCCCAGTATTTTTCATGATGTACTCTGCATATAAGTTAAATAAGCAGGGTGACAACATACAGGCTTGATGTACTCTTTTTCCTATTTGGAACCAGTCTGTTGATTCATGGCCAGTTCTAACTGCTGCTTCCTGACCTGCATGCAGGTTTCTCAGGAGGCAGGTCAGGTGGTCTGGTATTCCCATCTCTTTCAGAATTTTCCACAGTTTGTTGTGATCCACACAGTCAAAGGCTTTGGCATAGTCAATAAAGCAGAAATAGATGTTTTTCTGGAACTCTCTTAATTTTTCGCTGATCCAACGGGTGTTGGCAATTTGGTCTCTGGTCCCTCTGCCTTTTCTAAATCCAGCTTGAATGTCTTGGAGTTCACGGTTCACGTATTATTGAAGCCTGGCTTGGAGAATTTTGAGCATTACTTTACTAGCATGTGAGATGAGTGCAATTGTGCAGTAGTTTGAGCATTCTTCACATTACCCAAATATGATTTATTCAGACAGTCACTGTCTAGCTTTCCTTTCCAGAATACAGATTATATTAAAAATGAATGCTGTTTTTGTCATACATCCACATTACTTTTGTATGCAGGGTACTTGTATCCTTAGGACCTAGAAGGGTACCTGGCGCGGGAGTATGCTTCATGTTTAGCTAATTAATGGTATCTTGACTGAAAAGATGAATGCAGACAGGTGGTCCATCCTTTGCCTGAGACACCTTAGAAACTATACATTTTTGGGGTCTCTCTGTAAAAGCCAGTGACCTCTGGTTTATGTTCATCTCTGCCTAAGAATTCAGGATGGTCGTGCCACACCAGACTCCAGATTCCATCTATGTTCAGCACTGAGGACGCGGAGAGAAGAGTTTAGAAGGTTTCAGGTCCAACTGCTCTTGAATTGTGAACTCTGTCCTTTCCGTCTGCACTCTCTCCAGTCGAGTGGTCACAGCATCAACAGTTGGGGGGCCATTCCCAAGACCACGAGCCCCTCCCCCGACTTCAAAGCTACATTTACAAAAGGCCATGAACACAGCACCTTGCCTCTCCATGGTCAGCATGCTGGGCGCCTTTTCTCAGTGGGGTCAGCATTCATCAGACTGTACCCCTGGAGAGTCTATCCTTGTTGGAATTAAACTGGTCCGAATTTTGGTGCTTATTTCTCTGTCTTGTGGAATAAAGATGCATATATACTTATTATCCAGTTACCACACAGGTGACTCATTCTGGTCACAACTGCTGTGTAACTATCTATCCCAAAATGTATAGATTAATAAGCACAGTAGCAGCCAGCACAGAAGGGATGGTTTGTCTCTGCTCCACGAAATATGGTGCTTTACCAGAGAAGATTCCAAACCAGGAATGACCTGATGGCTGGGACTGGAGGGATCCTCGGAGGCTCCTTCGCTCACATGATCTGCACTGGCCTGAACTGTGCTGACTTGCGGTTACTCCGCGTGACTTGACTTCCGCAGAGTACAATGGCCTCAGGATGGTCGGACCTGAGGGTCCAGGGCTCCAAAGTGGAGCCTTACAGTGAAAAGGCAGGGCTGCCTCACCCTTTATGAGCCCGGCCTGGTGGTCACACAGCTTCGTCACTCAAAGGTCAGAGCAGGCTCCCCACGCACAGGAGGGGAGGCAGACCTCAGCTCCCAAGGGAAGGAGTGTCAAAAAATCGGCAGCCAATTTTTTACCATGCTACACTCCCTTGCTCTTAAATTTACTCCTCTCTTAACGTAGCCTAGTACATCTGCCACTAAGGCTAATAAAAACTTCTCTTACAACCTCTTTAGGTTTGGGTGATGCATCTTTTGCTCATTCATCTGCGTAAAGCCTGAGCAACTCACCTTTTGTCACCTCACCTGCATAATAAAGGAGTTAGACTTGATGACTAGTTTTCTCCCTTCCAGCTTCCACACTACATGCTTCTACTACTGTAATGGGTTGAATAGTGTCATCCAAAAATTCATATCCACCTGGAAACTCAGAACGTGACCTTTGGGGCAATAGTGTCTTTGTAGATGTAGTTAGTTAAGAATCTCAAGATTAAAATATCCTAGATTTAGGATAGGCCCTAAATACTGGGCCAGCTGTCCTTATAAGCAGAGGGGACACAGAGAAGGCCCTGTGAAGACGGAGGCAGAGATTGGAGTCGGGCTCCCAGAAACCAGAAAATCCCTGGAGACCCTGGAGACTGAAAGAGGCAAGGCAGGCATCTCAGAGCTTTCAGAAGAGGCAAGGCCCCGCTGACGCCTTGATTTCAGCCTTCTTGTCTCCAGAACTCTCTGAGGATAAACTCGTGTTGTTTAAAGCCACCAGATTTGCGGTGGTTTACTGTAAGCGCTCTAGGAAACACGTACGACTGCCTTGTTCTGTCTCTTCCTTCCTCAGTCACCACAGGCAAAAGGCTCCTCTCTGCTCCCCACTCCTGACCTGCCCCCCAGCAATGCGTGGCTCCGTGAGCACGGCTGGAAGGCACGAATTTAAAGCACAGAGACTCTGGGGGATAAGCTCGCCGCCCAAAGCCTTACTGCAGCAGGTCACCTCTGAATTGCTGCTTGTTGTCACTGGGTAAACAGTGCGGCTGAAGCCGAGGAGAAGAAGTCCCAGTGTGTGGGAGACACAGACGTGCTCTAATGCAGGCTCCAAAGATGGGCAGGGAGGACAGGAAAACATGCTGGGCTGCGTCCCCTGTAGATGCTACTTCTTGAGAAGAGACAGCCCGCATGTCACAACCGCCAGTCTGAAGTACAATTACCAGTGTTCTCAAGGCACGGAACGAAGAAAAAGTAGAGTATGTAGAATGATGACGCCTAATCAATTCAAGAGTTTAAACCTTTTTTTTTTTTGGTATTAGAAGCTGAAGAAATAAGAAATTTAATGGGAGCATGAATAAAAACTGTAAAACTGCAAATGGCTCAGCTGTTCATGTTCAGACTTCTGAAGACTGCCAGCTGCCAAAGGCTGCCTGCTCTTCTTGACTTGAAAGATGCTTTCATTCCTTCCTCCCGACTCTAGTACAGCTCTCTCCCCGCCCACCTTGACTGCTGAGTCCAGAAATGTGCTGCATCCTCATGGGAGAACTCCCCTTCTCTCTCTCACACATCTCATTTAAATTTCTAATTCCCCAAAGCCTAAAAAAATGAATGCCTCAAGACAAGCTGAACTCAGAAAGTCAAAGTGAATAGTAATAAGGGGTTCAATAACAGACCATGCACTTCCCTTATCTGGATGACATACACACTCATGCCATTTGAGTCCCTGCCCTCATTTTGCTTTAAAAGTGATTAGGAGGTCTTAATATATTTTGAAGGAAAGTATCTCCCCTGCCTTTATATTTTTCACAGACCACATGCTAAGCTAGCTGGCAAGAAGAAATTTCATTTCAAAGCAAGATTAGAAAGTGCCTTTTTGAGTGCTATCAAAGCTGACGCTAAGATGTGAAAGGTACAGTTAACCAGATATTTAGAATATAGAGGCTTGCATCATTAAGAGGGTATATTTTTCACTTATGCAAATCATTTTCGAGGAGATGGTGAGGGAAAAGAACATATGTAATAAGGACACTAGTTTTTAGTTTATAAGACAGAAGCTCAGCAGGGGAGCAGCAAATGAGCTGAGCTGTTTCTCAAAGGGCTGCAGTGGAAGAGGAGCGCAGGTGGACGCCCGGCACGGCGGGCGGGCCAGTGAACGCGGAGGGCTGCTCACAGCCCTTCTGGAAACTGCGGAAATTAAGCCTTTTTGTTCTTGCATTGTGGCCTGGTTGACTTTGCACCAGGTCGAAGCAATGATCTGTATAATTGCAAACCCTCCCCTATTACCAGAGCCTGGCACTTCACAAAGTGATGTCTGGGCTCCAAGCCAGATTTCTGGTTTCACCTTCATTTTCAATAATGCATTATGGTGTCTAAAGTGGGGAGAGAGGGGTCAGGCGGTGAGAAGGAGAGAGAGAAAGGAAGAGAGGAAAGGAGGGAAAGGAAGGAAGAGAAAAGTGTGGGGAAAGAAAGAATGAGCACTGGGAGAGGAGGTTGGGTCAGAAGAAGGCCTGTGAGGAGTGAAGTGTTTTAGAAACAGCGTATCTGTATTTGTCTGTTTGTGGAAAAGCGGTGTGAGGAGGGATAGCAGCTTCCCTCCTAACCAAGAGGGAAATGGCTTAAAAGGATGTTGCTCTCTCGGTATGCTCTGCTATGCCTGTTCTTCTGGATAATTACCACCCTATTCTTAAGATTTGCACTCAAAGAGTAATTGTCCTCTTCAGTCATGCATCGTTCATTATTTCAGGTAAAAAGTAAGTGCACAGAAAACATGGCCGTGTGGGAAGGTACAATTTCAATTTGGTGGAGGCAGAGGACACCAAAGAACAACGTGGTGGGATGTGATCACAAGTGCGCTGACTCACTCTGGGGAACGCATCTCTTCTGAGAACTATTTATGAACCATAAAAGTCTCCAACAGAAAACAATGGCCCATCACTCCTAGAAACTCAAATCTCCTCCTAGGCTGCTGCCAGCCTTTCCTCCGAGAAACACTGATCCATCTTCTCCTTAATTTCCTTTTGTCTCAAGCTCTTAGTTGGCCCACAATGGCAGGAATCATCAGGTGATCAATACTGGTTAGTCCCCAGTAATAGGGAATGTTTCCACATTCACAGGACCAGGGAAGAAACAGGAATGCAACTGCCCTTCTCACTGGCAAGTGAGCCACTCAATGAATGGTGCACCAGATCCCACTACACACTGCCTCTTTGCTCAAGGGGAAAGCAACTGTATCTCCATAAGCCCTTGGATGGACAAGCTCTCCCCTCCGCATCCTCTGTGGAATCTCCAAGGTGACTGGTCAGGTCCTGCACCTCGCAGTAGCTGCAGTTTTCTCTGTGATAGCTCTGTTTGCTTCTCAAAGTACATCATTATGCTTTCTCTAGGTGAAGAAAGCCTCGGAGAGAAGTGGTTTATTCAAGACTCCATGACTAGTAAGAAGGGATTCTGGACCAAGAATTCAGGTTTCTCGCATTATAGAAGAACTAGATCTACCTAACTGCTCTGAAAACATCATTTTAGGCTGGACAGTGGGCCTAAGTAAATAAATAAATGAATAAATAAATGTTTTAACTTACAAAAGATAAGTAGGAAATGTGGCTGAAGATAAATCTCTTGAACCTAGGTAATAAGACAAAATAAGAATTGGGGGTTGGGAAATATTAGCAGCATAATCTCTACTTAAGCAATATATATATATATATATATATGCGTCCTTGTTTTTAAATTGATGGGAGGGATTAAAGAAGGAGTTATGACAGATCTTCTAGTCCCACAAATGAAGTGAATCAGGGCACATTTTATTGACTGAAATGACCTTAAGGCTATAAACAATGTATTAGTGTTTTCTAAGTTATGCTTATCATAATTAAAGATGATTGGGTGGTTATGCTTGATAAAAGGGGAAGAAAGCAATTATAGCTTTTTATGTCCCCATTACTATGACCTATGAAAATTAGATAATTAATAGCTCTCTGCAAGAAGCAGCCTACCCCAATTTGGCATTTCTTTCTACTCATCTAAGCAAAGCTCCTCTCCAGCACTTAACTTTCTTCCCATCCATCTGAAAGCAGATTCATATTATTCTGCTTCTGCTGCTACAAACTGAAATATGTCTTTTCATCACTACTTCAGTCAGCATACCTACTACAATATTTATTGCGAATACACCATGTTAGGTACCAAGGGCATAATAATGATTAAGGCATCAAAAGTAATCATTCCCACTATGATTATGGAAAAAAATACCTATTTTCTAAATAGCAAAATGGATGGCTTAAATCTAACCATTTTATTTCTTATTGAAGTAGAGCAGACATATAATATTGTTCATTTCAGGTGTACAACATAGTGACTTGATATTTGCATACATTATGAAATGATGGCCACAATAACTCTAATAACCATCTGTCTCCATACAAAATTATTACAGTATTACTGACTAATATGCTGTATATTATACAACTGTGGCTTATTTATTTTATAAGTTTAACCCTTTTAATGTCCTCCACCTACTTCACCCCATCTTCCACCTTCCCTCTGGCAATTAAACTTTGTTCTTTTATCTAGGAACCTACTTTAATTTTGCTTTTTTTTTAGTTTTGTTTAATTTTGTCTTATAGATTCCACATATAAGTAAGAGCACACAGTATCTCTCTGACACTTCATTTAGCATGATACCCTCTGGACCCATCAATGTTGTCAAAAATGGCAATGTTTATCTTTCTTTGTTTAACATTCCATTGTCTAAATACACATCATCTCTATCCATTCACCTGTCAAAGTGCACTGAGGTGACTTCTATACATTGACTATTGTAAATGATGCTACAGTGAACACTGGTGTGCCGATATCCTTTCAAATTAGTGTTTCTTTTTTATTTTTTCAACAGCTTTATTGAGGTATACGTTACATACCATAAAACTTACCCATTTTAAAATGGTGTATAGTTCAACAAGTTTAGCAGATTTATACAGTTGAGTAATTGTCACACAATCCAGTCTTAGAACACATCCACCACCCCACAGAATTTTCACCCTGACCATTCCGTTTCTATTTTCTTCATGTAAAGATTCAGAAGTGAAATTGCCGAGTCATGTAACAGCTCAATTCTTAGTTTTTTGAAGAAACCCCATACTGTTTTCCACAGTAGCTGCACCAATTTACACTCCCACCAGTACATGAATGTTCCCATTTCTCCACATCCTCATCAACATTAATTATTTGCTGTATTTTTTAAAACAACCGCTTTGACAAGTATGAGATGGTATCTCATTGTGGTTTTAATTTGCATTTTCCTGATAAGTAGCAATGTTAAGAATCTTTTCAAATGTCTGTTGGCTATCTGTATGTCTTCCTGGGAAAATGTCTATTCAGGTCCTTTGCTCATTTTTAACTGGGTTGTCTGGTTTTTCCAATAGTCATTTATGCATGTGAGAGTTGGACGATAAAGAAGGCTGAGTGTCAAAGAAATGATACTTTCAAATTGTGGTCCTAGAGAAGACTCTTGAGAATCCTTTGGATTGCAAGAAGATCAAACCAGTCAATCTTAAAGGAAATCAACCCAGAATATTCATTGGAAGGACTGATGCTGAAGCTGAAACTCCAATACTTTGAACACCTGTTGCAAAGAGCAGACTCATTGGAAAAGACCCTGATGTTGAGAACGATTGAAGGCAGAAGAAGAAGCGGGTGGCAGAGATGAGATGGTTAGATAGTTTCACGGATTTAATGGACATGGATCTGAGCAAACTCAGGAAAATAGTGGAAAACAGAGAAGCCTGGCACGCTGCAGTCTTGCAAAGAGTTGGACATGACTCAGTGACTGAACAGCAACAACATGCTTTTTTGAAGTTGAGTTGTATGAGTACTTTGTATATTTTTTATATTAAATCCTTATGGAGTGTATCATTTTCAAATATCTTATTCAGTAGACAGCCTTTTTATTTTGTCGATAGTTTCCTTTGCTGTGCAAAGCTTTTTAGTTTGATGTAGTCTCATCTGTTTATTTTTTATTTTCTTTCCCTTGCCTTAGTACATGTATCAAAAAGAAAAGAGCAGAATGCATATTTTTTCTTGTAGGAGTTTTATCACTTCTGGTCTTACATTTAAGACGTCAATACATTTTGAGTTTATTTTTGT